TTTGAGCGCTAGGAAAATTTTAGCAACTGATTTTACCCAAAAAATTCATTAAACTTTTTTGCTCCAAAAATACTCATGACTCCTCGTCCGTGAAAGCTCCGCAGATACGGAGAACAGATTTGGAATAAGCGCTTTATGTCCTTCAAGATGGTACAAATCCCATCCTAAAAGGCCACTTCGACCAAACGACCTTTCTTTGTCAACGCAAAAAAATGGTGGCAGCCCGAAGTACGCGTAATAAGTATGTCAAGGCAATACATAGCATTAGAAGAAGACTTTGACTCAAGTATAAACAAACTCATGATAAGCGGCAAGTGGTCTAGAAACAATAATGAAACTGAGAGTAGATATAGCGCATGAATGACTTACGTGAATCATCTTGAACGTATTTGTGCAAACTTCTTCCCGATGCCCTGGTTGTGGTGGTAAGGATGGTTGTCGAAAAACGACACCTGCTTCAGCATGAGGTCCAGCTTTGGAATCGCCAAAAGGTTTCACAAAGCTAAAACACATTTTGTATTCACAATAGATTACTATATTGCCCTTACCTTGCTTTAGGTGCTATTTGCTTCGTTACCACCGTAACCGTGCCTGATGGAGTTTGCATTGTCGAGTGATAGTGGTTCTTGACGGGAGGAACTGTTGTAGGTTTAGGAGGAGCAGGAGTGGTATTGAGATCCGTGGGTAAATTGATCGACGGTTCATCGGATGATGGAGACAACATCGGACCAGTGGAAACCACTATAGTTTCACCAACAACTGCTGATCCATGAGCTCGCTGTATTTATAAAAAGCAAATTTATTCGAAAGAAAAAAGAGGAAAACAGCGATACCTTCGTTTCAGTAGGAGATATAGGAAAAATGATAGGAGAACAAGCCGTTGACACCAAATTTCGACTCTCTTTCACACGATCTGAAAAGAAGTATCTACGAAAATCACGGGTATGACCGAAATGGTTGGGTGGTTTAACCTTTTGTGAAGAAAGATGATTCCTGTAAAGCACTCGAAT